GAGGAAAAGGAGGGGGGCAGAATATACCGCGCGCTAAACGAAAAAAGTCGATCGATATCTCTGCGTTTAACGATGAGTTTAACTTGTATACACATATAGCTGTTATGTACATATATATATATATATACGTGATACGGATTTTCCTACGTCTTTATGTTTTCGCTGGCAGTGCCTTGGTTTCGCGTCCAACGTGATGAGACTGGCAGTAAGCGCGCGTGATGCGCGACGTTCGCGCAAAAAAACGGATCTAAAAAAGGATCTGAAGAATGTTAAGAGAGAAGAGAGGAAAAAAAAAAAAAAAAAAAAAAGAAAGAAAGAAAAAGAATCGATCGGAGGGCGACCAGTTTAGGCGCGGGACGGTTGAGAAAACGGTGATTCGCGGTTCGACCAAACTCGAAACTAAACGAATTAATTAAGAGGTGGTTTCTGAAAGTTAGCGTACAGCGTCCATGGTATTTGAACGGGTGGCAGTGCGCGATATTTGGCAGTGACGCGTTCCTTCTTTTCTCTCTTGCGAATCGCTTCTTCTTTCCATAACGAGCCAGAACGGATCTCCCTCTTCGATTCCATTTCATCGCGGCGTTCCTCTTCTCGTAATGCTGAACACCCAACGTGTATGTGTGTCTATGTGTATATATATATATATGTGTGTGTGTGTGTGTGTCTCTCTCTCTTCCGAAACGAGAATTCAAAAGATCAAAAAAGTGAATCTCCTTCTCGCTTGGAATCGTGTAAGCTGACAATAGGCTATGCGCTGCCCTCTTTCGAGGCAGCTTCTTATATCCTTCTAAAAGAAGAGGCAGTGGCCCGTATCATCAGGCGATTTACAGATAATTTCAACTAACTATTTACATATACGCTCGTCCGCGAATATATATCCCGTTGCCGTTGGCACGTGCGCTGATACTTTTTTTTTTCTTTTTTTTTTTTTTTTTTTTTTTTTTTTTTTTTCTTTTTTTTGCGTAAAGGAAACCAGCGAGAGTTTTTTTTATATAATTACGGTTATTCCGGTGACGAATAATTTTTCACTCACGCACTCGCTCACGCACGCACGGGCCCGAAGCAACAAAGGACACATCGTAAACCACTTATGCATCCGCGGCAACTAGAGATCTATCGGATTATACAGTTAATCGTAATAATAATAGTAAGAATAATTAATCGACCAATTAGCTTAGAGTTCTTAATTACAATCGTATTGGCAGTGTTTCTTAGCTGGTGTGTGTAGATGTGCTTCTGTCCGTGTATGTGTATGTCCCAGTATGCTTTCCATCAGTTGTCTCTTTCTTCGTTTCATACTTTTTCTCCTTCGTTTTTTTTTTTTTTGCCTTCTCTTTTCTTTTCCTTCCCTTTTATCTTCTCGATAATCTTCCCTCCTCCTCGTACCAGTTACACAACACGTCGTCGACACGTCGAATAATCCACCCCTCCCACTTGTTACTTCTCTTAATTTACAAGTATTCACTTTACTCTCTACATAATTATATATGTGTACAATCGTGCGGCATCCACATTCCATGATGTCAGAAATTTCCGCGATACGAGAAATATATTTCTACGATCTCGGCGTGTCTAACCTAACACCTATGAAAATAGCGATCCGACACACTCATCCATTATCCATAAGTTCTCCTCCTCCTCCTCCTCCTCGTCCTCCTCCTTCTCCTTCTTTCTCTTTTTAAACGATTCGCTTTCGCATTATTCCCCCAACCCTTTAGTAACTCCTGTGGAAAATGTAACACAGCCATCGTGTTTCATCCTTATTCAAAGTGGTAACAGCTCTTCGTTACGGTCGTTACAGCACGATGCTCTCACGTTGTCGAATAGACGGTTCTTTTTTTTTCTTTTTTTTTCTTTTTTTTTTTATCCGTTTTCTTTTCTTTAAAGCTGTTCCTTTTTTACCCGCAGATATCCTCGACCGACCGAGTCATTTTTATCTCTTTCGATAAAATGTCGCAAAATTTTTCGACGCGTTCTATTATTTTCTCTTCTTTTTCCGTTTTACGTGGAATCGGATGAAAAACGTTGAGACGATACAGAGACTTGGAACTGAGAGAGTTTGAATTCGGGAATCATAAAGAGGATATATATATATATGTATATGTATATGTATATGTATATGTATATAATATATATTGTACAGTTGTTTTTGAAATGAAAAATCATTGGAGATTCCTGCTTTTATTCCGATTTTCCTTTTCTTTTTTTTGCCTTTATCGATTCGGCGATCGGTCGATAAGAACGAGAGGGTTAAATAGAATAATAGAAACTATTTTCTCGATTTCGTTTCGCCACGCAGGGGCAGAGTTTGCAGCATTGACATTTTCGCTGCACGTAACTTAGCAGGGAAGATAAAAATAGGTTGACGATGTTGAAGTGTAGACGGATGAAATGAAACAAGTTTTAGGCACGAACAAAGCAAGCTCGTTCCGACTTTTCTTTTTAATTTATTTATTTCTTTTTTTTTTTTCTCTCTTTCCCTTTTTTTTTTCCTCTCTATTTTTCTATCTCATTTTGTACACTTTGATATTCTTTTCTCTCCCTTTCTTTTTCGAAGAGGGGAAAACGGATAAATCTCGATAGAAATCCCATTGGCACATCGGTCGTTCGACTGTCTCTTACCGTTTCAAGTTTCGCGTCAACCTTTGTTTATTATACATTCTCGTGAAAGTAACAGCGAATCGTATCGATCTCTCTTTTTTTCTTTCTTTCTTTCTTTCTTTCTTCTTTTTTTTTCGTCTATTCTTCGGTGATACCATTTACATTCGTCTTTGGCTATTGCCCTCTGTTGTCGTCTTCTCGCAAGATTCCTTTATCCGATAACACACCGCCCATGCATACACGCCCCCTCTAAGTTCCTGTCTTTCCTACCTTTCTCTCTCTCTCTCTCTCTCTCTTTCTCCATCTCTCTTTATCTCCACGTCGCACGACAACGGCCTGCACGAATTTCTACCGAGTTGAAGATCGAGGTAGATACATCTCCTTTTAAAAGTTGGTCGAGGGTCGAGGGTGAGTCGAAACAACTTCACGTTTCGCTCATTCTCCATTCTTCACACCCCTTTTCTCTCTCTCTCTCTTTTTTTTTCTCTCTCTCTTTCATCTCGGGGGGTAGTTGAACAGGGCCCGGAAGTGCCAAGGGGCCGTTGTTAGATATTAATTGATTCTTAAGGCCACCAGAGTGATTATCTCCTTACAATCGTTAACTAACATTTAATAGTTTGCATTTTTTTTTTTCCTTACTTCTCTTTGTCTTTTTTTTTTTGTTTTTTTTTTATT